TTAACTCGCACAGTGTTAAAATGAAGGCACATTAGATTTGACCCTTCATCATATATAGGAGCCTCTAACATAAAAGTATACATAGGAGCCCCTACCCAGCGAAGATTATTATACAGTATATAGGAGCCTCTAACCTTAAAATTATACATAGACCTCTAACCTTGAATTATTATACAGTATATAGGGCCTATAACCTTAAAGTATACATAGGCGCTTCTAACCTTGATGTTATTATACAGTATATAGGGCCTCTAACATTAAAGTATACATAGGAGCCTCTAACCTTGCATATATGGGAGCCTCTAGCCAAATTATATATAGGAGCCTCTAACCTTGACCACCGAAGGGTTAAGACGTACCTGGCGCTCTCTCTGGGCAGCCAGGTCAACTATTAAGTTAGCCATACCAACCCCTCCCCTGACCCTCCTCCCCACCGGAATATCAACAAGTTCTCGCCAGAAGTTACAATTCCATTTAGGAAAGGAATGGAACCAGTGTTAAACAGAGGTGAACAGTGCTTGAAGTCAGTGAGAACAACTCAACAGTAACAATCGTTACCCAAGTTAACCTTCACACAGTGAGGTCCCAGGTACCAGTGATAACGGCCCGTGAGACCAACAACAACGGTGTGTTAATCCGTCTACGATAGGAAGGCCTAGGACCACACCTCACTCATATAACACCATCTGTGAAATTACTACACCACATGTCCTCATAACACCAATGTGAGGAATTACTACACCACGTCAAGTCCCTCATAACACCATCTGTGAGGGAATTACTACACACCACGTGAGGTCCTCATAACACTATCTGTGAGGAATTACTACACCACGTCAGGCCCCTCATAACACCATCTGTGAGGAGTTACTACACCACGTGAGGCCCCTCATAACACCATCTGTGAGGTAATACTACACCACGTGAGGTCCCTCATAACACCATCTGTGAGGGAATTACTACACCACGTGAGGCCCCTCATAACACCATCTCGAGGGAATTCCTACACCACAGGTCCCTCATAACACTATCTGGGGAACTACTACACACAGTGAGTTCCTCCTAACACCATCTGGGAGGAGTTACTACACTACGAGTTTGCTGTTCAACACCTACATTAATCTGTATGTTTACTGTATGTTCCTTTACCTTTCTCTAATGAAGGCTTTGTTAAACCACCCATGTATGTAATACGTCATTTATGTCCAATGTATATTTTCAGCCCGGGCTGGAACTTTCTATAAACCGTTAATTATTTTTTTTTTTTTTTTTTTTTTTTGTTATTATATATAGACCTCTAACCTTGCACTATATTTAGGAGCCTCTAACCTTAAAGTATACATAGGGCCCTAACCTTGAATTATTATACAGTATATAGGAGCCTCTCACCTTGAATTATATATAGGAGCCCCTAACCTTGAATTATTATACAGTATATAAAGCCTCTATCCTTAAATTATACATAGGAGCCCCTAACATTGAATTATTATACAGTATATAGGAGCCTCTAACCTTGAATTATATATAGGAGCCCCTAACCTTGAATTATTATACAGTATATAGGGCCTCTAACCTTAAATTATACATAGGAGCCCTAACCTTGAATTATTTTACAGTATAGAGCCTCTAACCTTAGGGTATACATAGGAGCCCCTAACCTTAAATTATTATACAGTATATAGGAGCCTCTAACCTTAAATTATACATAGAAGCCTCTAACCTTGAATTATATATAGGGCCTCTAAACTTGCACTATATATAGGGCCGTAACCTTGAATTATTATACAGTATATAGAGCCTCTAACCTGAATTATATATAGAGACCTAACCTTGAATTATTATACAGTATATAGGGCCTCTTATAGGGCTAACCTTGAATTATATATAGGAGCCTCTAACCTTAAATTATACATAGGAGCCCCTAACCTTGAGTTATTATGCAGTATATAGGAGCCTCTAACCTTGAATTATATATATAGGAGCCTCTAACCTTGAATTATATATAGGAGACCCTAACCTTGAATTATTATACAGTATGTAGGACCTCTAACCTTGAATTATATATAGGGGCCTCTAACCTTGAATTATATTTAGGAGACCTTAACTTGAGTTATTATACAGTATATAGGAGCCTCTAACCTGAATTATATATAAAGGCCTCTAACCTTGAATTATATTTAGGAGACCTTAACCTTGAATTATTATACAATATATAGGAGCCTCTAAACTTGCACTATATATATCGGGACCTTTGAATATCAAATTTTTGGACTTCTTTACTGTCAGTCACTTATTGTTATCTAGCATTGTAAGGTGTTCTATTTTACATACATTAATATTCATAGAAGATAAACCTTGGGCCGTCCTGTGTAATAAGAGCTTCAGGGCAGTAAGTCTACGATTTCAGCCAACCAGGTTTCAGTACGACTACTGTCACTAGACCCTTTGATGTTAGGAGGTAGTTGTGAGTACGTCTTGTCGTCTGTGCGAGGACTCGTGTATATATAAAATTACATCTGCTTCCGCTGATCAGTCATTTAGTCTTCGTTGCATTTCAACATTGCAACTATAAAGTAATCGGAATATAATAACTAGAATTTATACCATGTCTGATGTTGTTTCATATCTCTGTATCATTTGTGGGTTGTATTTCTGAACTAAAGCAACAAATGTTCTGATTTTTGGTGGGACAACGAGAGTCCCAAACCTGTAACATGGTACACCCTTTGTCACTTCACACATTGTATTTATGTTTTGTGTATACTCTATCTATTAGCACCGCCCATACTAATAAATATTGCCTGTTTACACGGGGATCACAGACATGGCTCTAGTCTGGTTTATACTGGTTTTAAGGATAGTTTGGGTGGTAAAACTATTCTATCTGTAAAACCTTCCCCAGTATTGTAACTATAAACTCTCACTCTCTCTCTCTCTCTCTCTCTCTCTCTCTCTCTCTCTCTCTCTCTCTCTCTCTCTCTCTCTCTCTTTCTCATTTACTCTTACGAATGCAAAATAATTATCTTGATGGTGAACCTTCTCTTGTTACCTCCTCCCACTTACTGTATGAATGAAAGAAAGAAGGAATGGAGGAGAGGAAGAAGGAATGAAGGAGAGAAATAAGGAATGGAAGAGAAATATGGAATGGAGGAGAGAAATAAGGGAATGGAGGAGAGGGTGATAAACTGCTGGGTTATGTCTCGTGTACTGATGTTTGTTTATCTTTTCCAGACACCCTAGGATGAGGAGGCGATACACACCCAACGTGCAGATGGTGAGTGTCACAATAGTCTCCTCTGTGTCACCCTCCCAGTGTTCTGTGTCTGGGGTGCCACCCTCCCAGTGTTCTGTGTCACAAGTGCCACCTCCCAGTCTCCTGTGTCACAAGTGCCACCCTCCCAGTGTTCTGTGTCACAAGTGCCACCCTCCCAGTGTTCTGTGTCACAAGTGCCACCCTCCCAGTGTTCTGTGTCACACGTGCCACCTCCCAGTGTTCTGTGTCACGTGCCACCCTCCAGTGTTCTGTGTCACAAGTGCCACCCTCCCAGTGTTCTGTGTCACAAGTGCACCCTCAGTGTTCTGTGTCACACGTGCCACCTCCCAGTGTTCTGTGTCACACGTGCCACCCTCCCAGTGTTCTGTGTCACACGTGCCACCCTCCCAGTGTTCTGTGTACACGTGCCACCCTCCCAGTGTTCTGTGTCAAAAGTGCCACCCTCAGTGTCCTGTGTCACAAGTGCCACCCTCCCAGTGTTCTGTGTCACAAGTGCCACCCTCCCAGTGTTCTGTGTCACAAGTGCCACCCTCCCAGTGTTCTGTGTCACACGTTACACACCCTCCCAGTGTTCTGGCCATGCACGTGCCACCCTCCCAGTGTTCTGTGTCACAAGTGCCACCCTCCCAGTGTTCTGTGTCACAAGTGCCACCCTCCCAGTGTTCTGTGTCACACGTGCCACCCTCCCAGTGTTCTGTGTCACAAGTGCCACCCTCCCAGTGTTCTGTGTCACAAGTGCCACCTCCCAGTGTTCTGTGTCACAAGTGCCACCCTCCCAGTGTTCTGTGTCACAAGTGCCACCCTCAGTGTTCTGTGTCACAAGTGCCACCTCAGTGTTTGTAACAAGTGCCACCCTCCCAGTGTTCTGTGTCACAAGTGCACCTCCCAGTCCTGTGTCACACGTGCCACCCTCCCAGTGTTCTGTGTCACAAGTGCCACCCTCCCAGTGTTCTGTGTCACAAGTGCCACCCTCCCAGTGTTCTGTGTGTCACAAGTGCCACCCTCCCAGTGTTCTGTGTCACAAGTGCCACCCCCCAGTGTCCTGTGTCACGTGCCACCCTCAGTGTTCTGTGTCACAAGTGCCACCCTCCAGTGTTCTGTGTCACAAGTGCCACCCTCCCAGTGTTCTGTGTCACAAGTGCCACCTCCCAGTGTTCTGTGTCACAAGTGCCACCCTCCCAGTGTTCTGTGTCACAAGTGCCACCTCAGTGTTCTGTGTCACAAGTGCCACCCTCCCAGTGTTCTGTCACGTGCCACCCTCCCAGTGTCCTGTGTCACAAGTGCCACCCTCCCAGTCTCCTGTGTCACAAGTGCCACCCTCAGTGTTCTGTGTCACACGTGCCACCCCCCAGTGTTCTGTGTCACACGTGCCACCCTCCCAGTGTTCTGTGTCACACGTGCCACCCTCCCAGTGTTCTGTGTCACAAGTGCCACCCTCAGTGTTCTGTGTCACAAGTGCCACCCTCCCAGTGTTCTGTGTCACACGTGCCACCCTCCCAGTGTTCTGTGTCACGTGCCACCCTCCCAGTGTTCTGTGTCACAAGTGCACCCACTCAGTGTTCTGTGTCACAAGTGCCACCCTCCCAGTGTTCTGTGTCACACGTGCCACCCTCCCAGTGTTCTGTGTCAAAAGTGCCACCCTCAGTGTTCTGTGTCACAGTGCCACCCTCAGTGTTCTGTGTCAAAGTGCCACCCTCCCAGTCTCCTCTGTCTACAAGTGCCACCCTCCCAGTCTCCTCTGTCACAAGTGCCACCTCCCAGTGTCCTGTGTCAAAGTGCCACCCTCCAGTGTCTGTCAAAGTGCCACCCTCCCAGTCTCCTGTGTCACAAGTGCCACCCTCCCAGTGTCCTGTGTCACGGTGCCACCCTCCCAGTGTCCTGTGTCACATGCCACCTCCAGTGTTCTGTCACAAGTGCCACCCTCCCAGTGTTCTGTGTCACAAGTGCCACCATCCCAGTGTTCTGTGTCACAAGTGCCACCATCCCAGTGTTCTGTGTCACAAGTGCCACCCTCCCAGTGTTCTGTGTCACAAGTGCCACCCTCAGTGTTCTGTGTCACAAGTGCCACCCTCCGAATCTCCTGTTTCTATATCATTCTCAACCTGCTTTTTCTGTGTCTGTCTCTTGTGTATGGTAAGTGGCCTAACCTCCATGCTATTGTCTGATGTGTACGTGTTTTATATATCGGCTACTCGTCAACCTTTACTTTGGTATCAGTTGTAGTAAAGTGGCAAACACCGTCTTTCCTTGTGATGCTCAGTAGTAAGTGTGGGACGGTGCTTCCCCTCGTGTCACCTCCACCGGTATATACAGTCGTCAGTGTAGTAATACTGCTCTCCGTCCCTTTCGGTCCTCCTTGTCAGTTCTATGAGGGGTGTGACCACTCTTGAGACGTGTCCTCGCCTCGGAAACTTAGTACCAACTCAATGTCACTTCTTCAGCGTCTTCCTTACTGTTTTACTTGTTTTGTTCACTTAATGTTGTTTAAGGTTTGACCACTTAATGTAGGTTAAGGTTAGCTGAAGATAAATTTGTTTTAAACTACCTTATGCTATTTTAGTTGTGGTTAATTTTAGTTAACTGAGAGGTTAGGTCTAAGTCAGAACGAACCACATTTAATACCTGATAAATTACGTCTAACACATACGAGTAACATTGATTAACGAGGCAAAGCACTCCAGTCTGGCCTCTGACGTTGTTATCGTGCATAATTGATACATTGTACGTTCCATGTTTTGCAGAGTTGCTCCTTATGCTGTCTCCTTCCTTCTTACCCCTTTCCTCCTCCTTGCCTCTCTCTTCTCTCCTCTTCCTCCTCTCCGTGTTGTGTTGGTTCAAGACGGTTGCACTCTTATCGACCTGATGGGGTTTATATTTAGCAATAACAGTCAACCTCTTGCAGTCATACATGACGACATTTAGTTTCAGAGCATCAGTATGCCAACAGCTCCCAACACTCCTCTATCTCACCATCCATTTGATGTTATTTAAATAATGTCCTCCTCGTGTGTCTGACTGAGTGTTAAGACTTTGTCAATGACTATATGTGTTTCTGTTCAGTGTTAACAAGTTAGATTTAATTATCATGTGAATTATGAGGAGATTCTTACTTTGGGGTTGATTAGTGTTTAAACAGTAGAAATACAGAGCGGCTGCCGGGATACACATAGTGTATAGATGTAAAATTTGTCTGAAGCCATTGTCACATTTCACCACGTAAACTGAATGTCTTTATCCCTTGAGTACGATGACTTAACCCTTGAGTACGATGACAACCCTTGAGTACGATAGCAACCCTGAGTAAGATGACGACCCTTGAGTACGATGACTTAACCCTTGAGTACGATGACAACCTTGAGTACGATGACTTCCTTGAGTACGATGACTTAACCTATGAGTACGATCACTTAACGCTGAAGACAATATCACCGCACTTAAGGAAGTTGCCATGGTATTCCAAGGATTATAAGTTCGTACTCAAAGTCACCGTACTCAAGTTAAGTCACGTACTCAAGGGTTAAGTCACCTATTCAAGAGCTAAGTCACGTACTCGAGGGTTAAGTCACCGTACTCAAGGGGCTAAAATATTTTGCTCAGTTGGCTGTCATTGTATTCAGAAGGTGAGGTAAGTTAGTAACTGAGCGAGACAACACAGGCCAGTCACACACCCACAAGTGCCAGACCAGACAAAGCTCACAACACTTCACAATGTCGAACTGTTATTGAAGTGTTCTGTTCTTAGAAAAATACGAGGAATTCTAAGGATTTTCCGATGTTGTAACTTTTCCTCAGACAGAGTTGAGGGAACCGCCTCCTGCACCTGACATAAACCATGGCAGGAAATGAGTAGGGCAGCAAAATATAACAACCGGTGCATTATGGGGTTCAACTTCAGAAATATTGACTGGGACACCATTGTAGGTGATTATGAATCTGAAGACTTCCTAGACGCAGTACAGGACAATTTTTGAAACAACTAATTACAGAACCTACTAGAGGTGACAATATATTAGACCTAGCATTTACAAATAAAGAAAATATTATCAGAGATGTCACAGTAGGGGAAGAACTAGGTAACAGTGATCACAGAGAAATCAGGTTCACCTAAATTGGGAAACAAAAACAATGACAATATGGTCAGAATCCCAAACTTTCGGTTGGCGGATTATCAGGGTTAAGAAGGTACCTAGGTGAGGTCACCTGGGACAGTCACGTCAGTCCCCAGTAGGAAGGGGTGAGGTCATAGATGACACAACAATTGATCATGACTATAATATATTCACTAGTATACTACATAAAGCACAAGAACAAAATATACCATACAGAAAAATTAGGTCAAATAAGAATGAGCCAAGGTGGATGACCGAAAACTTAAACATGACATAGGAATAAAGGAATATATAAGAAATTAAAGGGAGGGAGGAGCAGCTCAGAAATAGGTATAATAAACTATCTAGGAATGTTAAGAAAAATGTAAGGAAAGCAAGAGAGACTGTGAAGTCAAAATAGCAAGAGAATCCAAGGCGAATCCCAAGGGATTTTTCCAGGTATATAGAACAAAAGTCAAGGACAAAGTTGGGCCTTTAAAGTCAGGGAGGGAGAAGTGATAAATGGCAGTGAACAAATAAACAAAGCATTGAACAACTACTTCTTATCAGTTTTCACAGAGGAAATTGCGAGGAAATTCCAGAGGTGGAACTGATATTTAGGAAATGAAAATTAAAGAATATCACTATCAGAAAAGAGGATGTTCTTAAGAGGATAAATAAACTAAAGAAGACAAAATCCCAGAGCCGGATGAAATTTTCCTCGAGTCTTGAAAGAGTGTAGGGAACAGATTAGCGGACCCCTTGTAAATTTATTTACAAAATCATTGGAACACGGAGTTGTGCCAGACTTGTGGAAACAGGGAAATGTAGTACCCATATTCAAAAAGGAGACAGAGCATCAGCGTCAAATTACCAGCTGATCAGTTTGACGTCAGCAGTGGTGAAATTTGAATCAAATATAGCAGATAGCATCCGGTATCTGAAAAGCAAATTAATCTACGACTCATAACATGGGTTTACAAAGGGAAAATCTTGTCTAACAAATCTGCTGACGTTTTTAGGAAAGTCTTCGAGGTAGTAGATAATGACGAAATTACGATGTTATTTACTTAGACTTTAGCAAAGCATTTGACAGAGTACCGCATCAAAGGCTTCTGAGAAAAAATTAAGGCTCATGGTATCGAGGGAAAAGTTTTAAATTGGATAAAATCATTGCTCACCGATAGAATGCAGAGGGTCAGCGTAGATGGTGTTAAATCTGAGTGGGGCCGTGTAACCAGTGGGGTTCCCAGGGTCAGTACTAGGCCCTCTTGTTCATAATCTACATAAACGATCTAGATACTGGGATTAGCAGTGACATAAGCAAGTTTGCGGTTGACACCAAAATAGGGCGGCAGATTAAGTCAGGGCAGGATGCAAATGCATTACAGGAGGATCTAAATAAACTGCAGGGTGGTCTGAAAAATGGCAAATGAAATTCAACACCAGCAAGTGCAGCGTGCTTAATATTGGAAGAACAAATACTGACAATGTATACAGCCTTAACAAAATCAACCTAGAAAGTCGACTTGTGAAAGAGACCTAGGGGTACTTAGAAGCCCGGACCTACGGCCTAGAAAACAGTGTTAATGTTCGAAATAAGGCAAACAGAGTATTGGGTTTTATATCTAGAAGTGTAAGTAATAAGAGTTGTTTTGAACCTCGCCATCTATTGTCCTGATCTACCTACAGCACCACGAGAGCAACGCCATCTAGGGACGAAACCGAGTATGACTAGTCTTAGTTACCACTCCGGGTTTCCTTCTCCATATCCTGGTTGTTGCGTCACCTCCTCCAAGTCTTCCTCAACAGATCCAGATTGAGAAAGTTCAGTTCACTCTGGGAAGTGACCACAGGATCACTTATCCTGAAACCTACGGCACAGTGACTACCTACCGTCTTCTACAATACTCAGCCTTACTCGTCAGCCATCTCAGCTCCGCACTTAAGTATTTGTAATCTTATATTGCCTCCCCACCTCCACCTTGCTTCAAATTATTGTATGTTGTATAAATATGTATATACTGTTAATGTTTAGGTTAAGTATGGTTAAGGGTAAATTATAGAAAGCTGAATATTTTGTTAAGAAATTTATGGTACTTTATTATACACAACAAACTCGCATCCTTTGTCTACCCTTTTATAGTGATTGTGTTTGTTTTTTGTTGTTGTTGCCTGTTGGGATCTGGGTAGACTTTTAACTATATTCTAAATCCCCAACTCGTAACAGAGTGCAGAGGTCTTATTGCAACTATATCTTGCGCTAGTCAGGCAGCACCTCGATTATGCGGTTCAGTTCTGGTGCCCTTATTATAGAATGGATATCAATTCACTAGAGTCGGTGCAGCGAAGAATGACGAAAATGATTCCACGACTTAGAAACCTTCCATATCAGGATAGGTTAAAGAAACTTAACTAGCATTCCCTAGAAAGACGAAGAGTGCGGGGAGATATGATAGAAGTATTTAAGTGGGTGAAAGGAATCAATAAAGGGGATATAGATAAAGTTCTTATAATTTCCGAGCAGGATAGGACTCGGAGCAACGGATTTAAGTTGGATAAGTGTAGGTTTAGGAGGGAGATAGGAAGAAACTGGTTCATAAATAGGGTGGTGGACGAGTGGAACAAGCAGCAACTTTGTAGTAAGTGCTGGAACTCTGGAAAGTTTGAAAAGGAGGCTAGATAGATTCATGGATGATAGAGAGTGGTAGTAACTCTTTAGGAGCTGCCATGCACAGGCCAACCGGCCTATTGCACACTCCTTATTTTCTTATGTTCATATAGGAAACACTTCTGAAACAAGATCCACACCAGGTGAAGATAGGGTATGCTAGGTATTGGAGGACTGTTAGGGGCTGTGTTGGGGAACTGTGTTATGGAGCTGTGTTGGAGGACTGTTATGGGGATGTATTACAGGACTGTGTTATAGGGCTGTGTTAGAACTTTTTCGTGACATGGGTTTGTGTGTGCAAGACTATTTTGGATTGGTGTTACAGGACTTATTTTGGGGGCTGTGTTGTGGAGTTGTGTAACCAGGCTATGCTA